ACACACACACACTCGCCCTCATGCACACACTTACACACATGCTTTAGCAGTCACACATGCTCGTTCTCGCTGTTTACCTAACGCGAACAACACCACCACATCAAGCACCATTGCCTCTTAATACGTTCTTTCAACCACTCGTGATGGCATTCTGCAAAGACAGTTTTGAAGTCAAACAGTCAGTAAGTGGGTGGTTGGCGGGTGCTCTGGTGTGGTTTGCTTCTTCTTTCCTATCAAACATCTATTGTCCTTATCTCCCCTCCTTCTTTTTTTATGTTTTGTTACTCTCTTGTAACACCTCTAATCCTCTGGCGCTCATATGACCTTGTGCAGTTGCGAGCGCCGTAAAACTTTTACTAAAACAGAACAGTCAGTAACATACGTTTCTGACATTGGTTCTCTTGTATGTTTTCTTGCAAAGGTCGGAGCGGGTTCTCAGCTCAAGGGGGGAAGTCAGTGATAAATAAGACCGGCGCATGTGGTTGGCGGGTGCTCTGGTGACTGGTGTGATTTGCTCCTGCTTTACTATCAAACATCTGTTGTTCTGATCTCTTTTTCTTCTTTTTTCGTATGTTACTCTCTTGTAATATTTCTAATCTCCAGCTCTTATATGGCCTAATTGCGTTGCAAGTGCCGAGAAACTCTTTCTAAAAGTAAAACTTAAAAAAGACAAACGGGCGTTTGTTGTGTAGTGGTTAGGCTATTCGCCGTTGCACGCGGGAGACCCCAGTTTGATTTCCTAGTGGGGAGAAACTTTTACTGAGTATTCCAGTCTCTCCACTGGGATGTTATTGTATATCTCTCAGCCTGGGTTGGCCTTGACAGGCAGGGTTCGGAAGCCCATTTTCTGAATGATCAAGAATGTGTCGATGAGGGTATAAAAAACATCTCGCTTAGTATATGTTCAATGCAGATTACTCTGCGTCAAAGTTCTCAGGGTCTGATGTAGCGTGCATGAAAACATCCTTCAAGCAAGACCTAGCTAGGGAACATGTTGCCTGCCCTCCATCCGCTACATGCAATCACAGGTTAACGTAATAGTAATGGTCCTTGAGTGCTGGGAAAAAGTAAGACAAACAGACAGAAACAACTGAGTGAAAGTACAGACGTAGTACCTTCCAGTGAGCCCCTCCAAACACCCGCTCTTGGACAGTGTGATTATAATATATACCAAAAAGGGAGGAAGTGGGTGGTTGTACGGGTGATTTTCTTGGACAGGTGGTCGTTAGAGCAGGTTCAACTGTAGTTCTTGTGTTGTTGTGCTTCTCTGTGCTCAAACTGTCCAAGAGGACCACACGTATAAGATGATTACTTTTCTCCTCGGCAATGGGTGGTCGTCTTGAACAGTTTCGACAGTATTTTAAAGTACATGTACAGTTTCCATCAATGGTCATTCACTGTGTCCGTCCCCAGCTGGCGTCGTACATCCCACAACTGGCCAGGTTCAACCCGGAGAGCTGGGGTCTGGCCATCTGTACGGTGGACGGTCAGAGGTGGGTACGTGTGTTGGTGTAGATGAGATGAGATGAGATAGGTGAGATGGGATGAGGAGAGATAGGTGAGATGAGATGAGGAGAGATAGGTGAAATGAGATAGATGAGATGGGGTAGATGGGATGAAACAGATAAGATACGACAGGTGCAATGGGGTAGGTGAGAGGATGTAGATGAGATAAAACAGATGAAATGAAATAGATGAAATGAGGCAGGTGAGTTGGGAAAGATGAATTTAGACAGGTGGGATGAGTTGGATAAGATGAGATAGATAGGGTGAGGTAGATGACATGACACAGGTGAGATGAGACAGATGGATTAAGACAGGTGAGATGAGGTCTTGGATAATTCCTGGATGCCCTGTTAGCTCAGTTAGTATCATACTTGACTACCAGAGCAAATGGCCCTGGTTCGAATCCCTCAAAATTGGACTTTCAAGGCTTTCAACCCATCTGGATCGGTCGATGTTAAATGTGGAGGTCTTGCCTCTTAGACAGTCTAGGCAGAGGATAGGTGGACCCCGGTGTGTACCTAGGTTTTAGGATACTTGGACCCTGGAGTCAACATAGTGAAATAATTACCGTTGGTTTAAGTTTAAGAATAGGTGGACCCCAGAGTCAATGGCCTAGGCCTACCCCTGATTCGGGTCAAATGTGCAGTGATCTACCACCCCCCCCCCCCCCCCCCAAGAAAAAGAATAAAACATATCACATTTTAAAAAAAAGTTTTAATATTACGATTTCATCTTTTTTTCTTTATTTGCTAGCCTAAGCCCTACCCTAAAAGGACGATGTCAGATAGGTTTCATTGGTCAGGAGTCCGCCTGTCCGAAAACTGCAATTTTACTAGGTGCACCCCGGGGTCCTTCTATCATAAAACCTTGTGTTTCGCCAGGTAGACCCCGGTGTCCTCCTTTTTTGTGTTTGTTACTGTCTTGTAGCACCTCAAATCTTTGGTACTTATATGACCTAATTGTGTCGCAAGTGCTCTAAAACTCATATTACTAATACCAAACTGTCTTCTATAGATACGCCTTGGGAGACGCGTTTGACCCCATCTGTCTCCAGTCTGTGAGCAAACCGTTGACCTATGCCATGGTTCTGGATGAGCTGGGGCCGGAGGTCGTTCATCAGTACGTGGGCCAGGAGCCCAGTGGTCAAGCATTCAATACCATCGGGCTCGACCCAATGAGTGAGTAACCTTTACTGAGGGATGATGCTCAGGAGATCATTCTAAAAAGCTAAGGGCTGTCACAATAAGGCATATTCGTATTGTATTTGTACAGTCACATCAGGTTGCGTTGGTGCTGGATAATGCACGTCGCCTTGGGCCTCAGAAGCAAGGACTGGGTTACAGTTCTCTTAAATATAAAAGCATAAAAGTTGTATTTATCATTATTGATTTGAAATATATCATTGCTTTCATAAAAGCTAAAGGATTCATGGAAATAATCTTGGCCTGTGTATGTACACATACTTTTTAAAAACAGTCCTTAAGTCAGATATTTTTTAGAAATAAATTTACACAAAGCTGTATATTCTTTTGGTTGTCATATAATGACCAGTGCTTGGAGACCAAGTTTAAGTGTGACATTTTCAAAACCAAATTGTGTTGACAGCACCGTAAAACAAATACCGTCACTAATCAATTAACATGACAATAACGACTGGTTGTCCATTCTCTCTCCCCAGACCGTCCTCACAACCCCATGGTGAATGCCGGCGCTGTGGTCACATGCTCTCTGCTCAAACAAGGGATGAATCTTGCTGACAAGTTTGATTTTGTAAGTTGACATAAACAAGGGATGAATCTTGCTGACAAGTTTGATTTTGTAAATTGACATAAACAAGGGATGAATCTTGCTGACAAGTTTGATTTTTTAAGTTGACATAAACAAGGGATGAATCTTGCTGACAAGTTTGGTTTTGTAAATTGACATAAACAAGCTGTTAGATTTTGAAGTTAAAGCAGAGTTATGAGTTCTATTCTTGGCTCCGTTAGGAAGAATTTTATATCATGAGAAAAAATCATGTAAGCCTCTTTTCCCCTATTCACCCACCTGCAAATGGATCTTTGCTAATAGTAGGTACTGCAATATGGGTAAATTTTAATCCATTTGAAGAGTTTGCAGCACTCTGTTTCCCTTGGGGAAACCATAGGTAATTTAAAATGAAGAAGCGGGCGAATAGAGTTGTGGTGAATAGAGTTGTGGTGAAGTTTAGTGAGCCTGCAGAGAGATTCACAATAATATATAAGCTGTTAGATTGTTTTTCCTCTGTCTCTATTCTCGTGCAGAATCAGCAAAAGACGAAACAGCTGGCCGGCAATGAGTACGTCTCCTTCAACAACTCTGTGTAAGTCCCAGCCACAAGATTTTACAATTTCCATCTCTGTGTAGATGTGGACCAATTACAAATTTCAAAACCTGAGTGGGTGGTTAGAGGAAGTCACTGGTAGGTCCTACTTCTTTTCTTTGTTTCTGTTGTTTATTTCTGTCTGTCTTGCTTTTTCCTTGCACAAAATGATCATTTTTGTGCCAAAACGGGAATCAAACAGGGAACCATCTGGTACAAGTGTGTCCAATGCTCGAGTCATTTGTAAGGAAGGATTGACCAGATCCTAGGTAGAGAGACCCAAAACTTCACGGGAGCCTCGAGGATCAGTGTGTGTCAAACAGCAGCCTTCTCACTGGTGACTGGGATGTCTATTTAGAGATGAACGAGAAGAAGAAGAAGAAGAAAGAAGTGTCAATCTTCTTCTCTTTACCCAAATTTGATTATGCAACTAGCCACCTGTGTCAGGGCTATCTTCCCCTGGTAAAATCCCCAGGAAAGTAATGCTCTAGGTCTCCTTATTGTATCGTCTAGAATTTATTTATTGACAGCAAGTCACAACATACATAGGTGAGCATGGAGCCCCTATGGTCGTGTTGGTGATTCAAGGGTGCCACTGCTAGGTCTGACTACTTTTCCTTAGTTTAAATAAGAGTTAGATGGCACTTGCAACACAAATGTCTCAAACAAGTGCCAAAGGTTAGAAGTGTTGCTAGACAGTAACATACAAAGAAAAGCTGGAGGAGAGAGATAAGGACGGCTGCTGTTTGATAGGAATGAAAGAGCAAACCACCTCAGAGCACCGACCAACCACCCTTTACTTTTTTATCCCTTTGTTGTTTCTGAGCCTTTCTTCCCTTGTTCCTTGCACTAGTAATCTTTGTCATGTCTGAGTACTTTAGTCAAATCACACTATCTCACTATCTAACTAAAATGAACATTGTTTTAAAAAAAATCAGTTTTAAAGGTATAATAGAAAAAAAACCATATGGCTAAATGACATTTACAATGTTATAGAATTAAGAAGAAAAACATTTTGGTTTAGACATTCAAATTTAATCTTTCCAGAACTTTAGTTTAGACATGCAAATATAATCTTTCCAGAACTTTGATTGTGCCTCAGGTAAATCTTAATTCTTTTCTTTCCACCTATTTTTCTGTCTGTCAAGTT